CTTCAGTCAGCACACAATCGAGGTTCGATCGAAACAAGATACGCAAGCACACAAAGCCTCCCGACGTGCGGAAGTCGCTCGGCCCTTGGAGTTGAACTCGAGGTGAAAGACGGGGATGCTCTAGGAAGGGCATCCAATTTTTTTTTGAGAATTGACTCACCTTCTTGCGTTGAGGCTCGTCGTAGGCGGGATACCACTTTCTGGCCTTCTGGGAGGGATGGGGCACAGACCGCTCGCCGGAGCCGAACTTCTTGACGACGGCTTGGTTGGCCTCCGTAGAAGACATTTTGACCTTCAACCTTGACCACGCGGGCTGGAGATTCGTGAATGAGTTTCGTGGTGTTGTTCGCCGGATTGTGTGGTGGGAGAGTCGATATCAAGCGCAGAATCGGGAAAGTGTGCGGTTTCATTTCTTGGCGTGGGCCAACGCCCCCGATCTTGGGTGCAATGGAAATTCGCAATTGGGGTTGTGGACAATCACGTGGTTGGCTAACTTTCCTCAAAGCGTTGGTACAGGTGCCAAGATCGACATTGCGTTCTAAGAAGCGCATGCTGCGCCCTACCAGTTCATTCGGCTCGGCCCTGTACTATGACCAGGTACGCCAGGCTTCAAATGCTGTCGTCTGCTACTCAAATTGCCCTTCTCAGTGCAAGCACCTCCCAAACTTCAGGATCGTCGCGCGTAAAAGCATTCTGCATTTACTTCCAGGTCTCAAAAGGTCAATTTTACCTCTAATATCACGTTTCTTTCTCAGATTGGGCCTTTCTGCATTCGTTTGCCTTGCATCATCTCCATATCATGTCGATTTCACCCATCCTGACCTTCAAGGCGGGGCTCTGTGAGCTTGATGTAAGTGTTGAAGCCCCCTATTTTTGCTGTTTATTTTCATCTGCTAACAGCTATATTCTCAGACGAGTACCTCGCCCCCACGAGCAAAACCTCTACCAACTCCAGGATACCTCTACCTCTACGCAGATGAACTCCTCCACCTATGCTGGCGACCGAGGACTGCTCCTTTGGACCAGCCGCAACTCGACTTATTGATGGTGCCAATGGACGGATCGTTCACCCCGTACCAGCCTACCAGCGCGGAAAACCCTTCCAACCCGAAGACGCCCACGAACGGAAGAATCTACGTCCTCAAATTTACCTCCAGCTCTCAGAGACACCTCTTCTGGCTACAATCGCGCAGTCAGCATCCGCAAGGTGACCCGTCATGGTTCTCCGCTCGAGATCTGAAGCTAGGCCAGATCGTGAACAATCTCCTTCAAGGCGAAGATGTCGATGTCCAAGAACAAATGGCTAGTTTACCTCCCGATGGAAATTCCCCAGACGACGACGGGGCAGAGCCAATGGAGGATGTGGAGGGAACAGATCATAACCCCAACCGCCGCCCTTCACAAGGTCCTGGAGCTGGTCCAGATGCCACTGGCGGGGATTTTCGAGAAGAAGGAGAAGAGTCACGCGAGGGCGGGGCGGATGGCGGACGAGCGTAGGTACTTGCACCCCACGTCGTGCGTTTTTCCTCCCGTACCCAAGTTACTTTTCTGACTATCCACGTCAGGGCGGCCGCTGAGGGTCTGGATGCCAGTGCTCTGGTTCGGAACTTTCTTCAATCCATGGAACAACGTCCTCAGCGCCAGCCGCCGCAGGAGAAGCTGTTCACATCGCTAGGTGACCTGCTGACGCCGTCATCAACTTTGCCATTAATTGAATCAGCCGATGACAAGTTGTTGGACCGCTTGTTTGAATGTCTCCCGGCTCACCTGTCAGAGATGGTGCGGGCTTCGGTCGACACGTCATCCTTACAAGACCCAAACTCGACGCCGGAGCAACGGGACGCGGTAAAAAGGCAATTGACCGATTGCAAAAAGGCTTTGTTGCGCAGAGTGTTGCACACGCCGCAGTTTACGCAAAGTTTGTCCAGTCTGACGATTGCACTGAGAGAAGGTGGTCTTCCAATAGTCAGTGAGACCTTCAAGATCCCGGTTCGTAATGGCGGATATCTCAGACACGGCGGAGTACCTATGGGTGGAGGCGAGGCTGTGGAGGCGTTCATAGCAGGAGTGAAAAAGGACGTCGAAGACAAGCTGGCAAAAGGAGACGAGGATGGGGCAGGCGACCGGATGGATCGAGACTGAAGGTCGACACATCTATCTTACAACGAAGCCAGAAACTACCTCTATGTGAGTAGCTCGTGTGGTTCTCAGGCGTTGTTGTCAGATTCGATCCATCAGAGTGTTTCGCCTTTTTGCAGAACCAATCGGTTCAAGTTCAAAGCTCTCCATAAATTAGTTCCAAGATTCCCCAATACACAACCAAGTCGACACTGCTACACAACTTCTCTGATCAATAGATTCTGGGGAAGCATGGCTTGCAAAGAGATGAGCAAAGAAACTTCAGCTGATTTTCATGTCCCAGTCTCGTGTCCCTTCACAATCGATGAAATTGAGATCAATGGGCTGACGAATTCAACGACGTACCTAATCCGAGAGCATGATCGGTACGGCGAATTCCCGCACATCTACGCGAAGATATGCGGTACTCCATCATCTGGCACACCAAACATTAATCCCAATCTAAGGCACAGAAAGGTATGTCGGGCACCTAGCGTTGAGGTTCAAAATGAGTTGGAAGGATATAAAGTCATTGTCCTGAGCGACACTGGCTGCGGGACAGAGGTGCCCAATTCAAGTCCTCAGCCACCACCTCCAACGCAGGTCAATGACGAGCAGCGCCAGTGCAAGATACGCACTGAACCTGCGGTATGGAATATCCGAACATTCCTTGAGTACACGATAAACCCTGGTGGAAGGATACCTTACCTCGTCATGACCACCCATTGCCACTATGACCATATCATGGGCATTGGGAGATTGCCTCCTACTTCGACTGCGACAGACTACCAGGATAGCAAAGACCATGTATCGGACGTTTGCCTTCCTGACGGATCAGCCCGCCCTCGAACGACGGTTTTGTCCTCCTCTTACGGCAAATCGTTCATCACACCCTACTCCAACCTCCAGGACCACAGCCTTTGCGATAAACTCGGTCTCCAGGCGCCGAGGTACGATGTTGGAATCTGGGCCGCGGACCTATCCCACGTTATCTTTACGCATCCGACTATCTCGTCCTCATCTCCTGCGAAGTTCTCTCCACGACCCCAGCCCTTCAGCATTACAACACCCTTGACGATCCTCCATACCCCGGGGCACACTCCGGACTCCCTATCATGGTACGACTCGGACCTCCGGCTCTTATGTGTCGGAGACAGCTTCTACGTCAAGGAGACTGCAGTCACTCAGGATGCAAAGTGGGGTCCAGAACCGCCGATGCCGGTCATTTTCGATCTGGAGAGTGATTTGGGAGAGTGGTGGTGGAGCCTGAAGAAGGTCTTGGGCTTTGTCCGAGTGAGGAATGCGGAAACCGAGAAAAGGGAGGTTCGTGAGAATGAGGGCTTGCAGGCAGAAGCGAAAGATTATGACGAAGTCGACACCGATGCGGACGATGACGAGGAATTCGTATACATCGATGCCGATGAGCTGGCGCCTACTTGGAAGAAAGGTGTGGAAGTGGCGGCCAAAGAAAGAGCACGACCCACCCTGCCATCTCATTCCATGGAGGAGTCGAAAGAGCATGCCAATGCGAAGACAGTGCCAAAGAGAGTCGTCACAGGAAAACAAGAGACACGGACGAAACAAACGGGTTTCGACATCCCTTCACCCAGCAAACGCGGCGTCATTGCATTACCGATTCTTTCCGCACCAGAGGGCCGCCACCCAGCAGATACAGACCAGGCTGACGACGTGTGGATGATGGTCGTCGACCCAGTCGCTCGACCACGTCCTCAGCGCCAACTCGACCACCCACTCCGGTCTGGTCTGAACCCAGTAATAACCTCGCATCGCGTGCAACCGGGTCTTCCTGTCCCCTGTCTCAAAAGGGAGGGAATTCGTCCTCCTCCTCATGACCTGTCGATCCCCCAGGTGCAGACCCAACCCCAAGGCTTCGCGACAAGGCGTCCCAGAGTCCGCCTCTGTGCTGCGCACACTACGCTCTCCGTCGATGCAGAGCGAGCCATCCTCTCGATACAGCGCTTCATGACGAGGATCCTCGAGAACGACGTGCCCTGCAGACGAGCCGAGGACGGCCCCAGAGGTGAGGAGCGCTGGATATGGGACGACGCACTCTCTTCTTCCCCTATCTGGAGCGCCACGCAGACAGACACGGATGTCACGGCGATCAAGGAAGGGCGCGATACCAGTGTCCACGCAGAACGCGCGGGGCCTGAGCAGGGCCATCGCCGCGGGACTAGCATTGTTATGAGTGCGACGCCTGCTAGATCCAAGTCGAAGCACAGCTACAGCTACAGTGTCGTCGCGCCGCTGAGTGTGATCAACGAAGGCCGGAGAAACATTCTCGGCCGTCACCGTCACCGTCACCCCGCTGGGGTGGTCTAGATAGCATTCTTTTTGATGTGACGTCGCACGACGCACGATGCACTTGGGGTAATTAGAGGAGATACATACCTATGTAGGCACGTACTCGATGTGGGAGAAGACGATCGAGAAGGAAAATAGATTGAGTACCGAGGTATGTAGTGAAGTCGGGGTTTCTCCCATGCGTATCATGTTGCCTTCGATATTGTTGGGGGAGTATATGAGTTATCTGTTCCAATTTACAACTATAGTTACAGTTACAGGTACAGTCCATTGGCCGACCAGTCAGTCGACCTGCACGGCTTGCTTTGAAACGCGGAGAGAGAGAGTGTGTGAGTGTGGGAGATCATTACTCTGTACCTCACAGTCTCGAAATCTGTGCTATTGTGTAGGCAATACCCATGCTTGGTACATGTCTCACAAACAACCAGTAATAATCTCATTATTGGTTTGCTTGCAAGAGAGTGGCTTTACCATCCCCGGGCCATGACAATACGGAGGACAGGAAGGATAGCGGGGACAGACAAGAAATAATAATGGAGGAAATGAGTTTGCTATGTTCAATCGCTCTCGTCGTCGCTTCCAATCTCGACGTTTCCGTCGGGGAGGAGGCGGCCGTTGGCAGGTCTCGAGTCGTCAATCTCAATATCATCGTCGTCATCGCCATCGCCGTGCTGGGCGCCGGTCTCATCGTCGTCCTCATCGTCCTGTTCCTCGTCCTCGTCTTCGTCGTCTTGGTCATCATCCTCATCCTCATCGTCCCCTTCCTCATCTTCCTCGTGCTCGTCGTCGTCTGCTTCCTCGACATCTTCGTCTCCGGCTTGGTTCCCGTGCCCTCCATCCTCTCGGGTGATTGAATCAGGTTTCCCTTTTCCCTTCCCATTCCGCACAACCACCGAAATGGACTGACTGTCGCGACTTTTCCTCTTCGCCTTCGCTTTCTCGGCGGCAGCTGGTGCCACTTCGTCGCTGACTGTCCCGTTGAGTTGCTGCTCCAGCATCCTCTCCTCTTCATCTTCCTCTTCGGCGCTCGTCCGCCGAATCTTCTTGTTGCTCGGCTCTCCTCTGTCTTCGGCGTCCCCATCTCCGTCTGCTGCTCCGCCACCAGACTCCCGGGCTTTGACTTTCTCTCTGTAGCCCCTCCTTTTCTTGCCAATGATCTCCTCGTAGACCTCCACCTGCCGTTCCAGTCTTCCGCCAGTCCTGCCATCCTTCCCCACGGCGCCAAGATCCATCACATGCGCAAACTCGATCTCCTTCAACGCTGCCATGACATCCTGCACACCGAGTGTTTTCTTATGCCGTAGCTGCGATTGTTCGTTCGCGTGGTGGGCAAGATAAGAGATGAAGACGGTGGCGGAGCGGGTCAGAGCAAGAAGGGCGTCTTTTTGTAGAGAGGTGTTGGGAGGGAGAACTCCGCGAGACAGACGAGATACGAGAGACCGGGGAAGAAGGAGGTCCTGCATCAGTAAACGGTCAGCCAAACATTGCTTGTAGTTCCCCGTGCACAACCCCAGAGGGGCTATGAGGCTTGCTCTGATCCAGGGCGATCCTCTCGCGCCGCCAGCGCGAAATGCGGGAAGTCAGGAGTGCACCCACATCTATGCTCACGCCATCATCTTGCTTTCCTCCTGATTGCCTTGACGATCTCGGATGCGCATGCTGCGTAGAGGACGAAGCCGTTGCGTGGGTTGCAGTGGACAGTGTGGAGACGTCACCATTTGCCTCCGTCGCAGACACGGTCGATGCACCGCTTTTCCGTGGCGGCATGGCTGGGTAAATAAAGTATGCGTCCGCTTGGACAGAGAGAGAGAGGAGTATGATATATCCCTTAGGACAACACAGCGTACAAGACTGCAGCGGATCGCGCTCCTAAGCCGCGTGAAGGATGTGAGGTGTGTTTGCCGTTTGTGCCCCTGCGGCGTTCAATGCCCGTCCCTCCGCTCGTAGTCGTACGCGGACTATAGTTCACTCTCAATGTCCCCTGGCAACCGACACCCTGACTTGCTGGGTAGTGCGCGTATGTAGATGAAGAAGGGATGTCCGTCCAAGGACAAATCCCGGTCAAAGAGGGAATGCGGTTGTTCGCGATCGCTCTGCTGTGCAGGGGGGGAAAAGTTTCTCTGGAGACGAGGCCGCGCCACTCAATGGCAGTACGGCGAAACAAAAGGGGACGTCGAGGGTCAAAAATCAGGACTGAGCCGTGATTTCTGCCAGAGATCAAAGCAGTAGACAAGTGCAAGGAACGTACAAGTACAACCGGCGGGAGAGGGTGGTGGTGGTTGTGTTCGGTATTCAGACGCGGTCCCAATCGCCCGGACGGACGCGACCGCGAAAAAAAAGCCCGGATCAATTTAATCGAGTGGAATTTCTGACGTACAAAATCTCAGCCCCGTTTCCCCCTCCCCTTCAAGTCCTCAGCCTCGTGCGACGCCCCCAAGAAATCATCGGAATGAGCAGAGAAAACGCTTTCAAATATGGATCTGTTGGCATAGTGTGAAATAGGCCTCTGCATTGAAACTTTTGAAAGTGCATTCATCCAGCCCCAGGGATATCATGGTGACCTGAGTGATCTACGCAAACGCCAATAAAATCATGCTCATGGTGCACATCATCAGACCGACTCATGACTCTATCTGCATAACGTCCTCTCCACCAGAAAATCCCTTGCCATTGTCGGCACCATCGCCCCAAAGGCCCTCTAGTTTGAACTCGGCTGCCCATTCCTTGACAATCTGTTTGCGATCCGCGCCGGTGGGTAGCTCCCTGGTATCGTCCATACCCTGGTCCTCGACCATCTCCTCGTCATCGGCGACCTTCAGCACAGGCGGGTCCACCCACCCTTGTATCCTCCCGTCTCTCCAATCCGTGATGACCGTCATCGCCGCCGAGGTCAGGTTCGGCACGCCTCCTTTACCCAACCTGCCCCGTTTCCTCGCGACCTGGACTAGAAAATCTGTCGTTTCATCGCCTTGCGCGAACGGTCCTAGTGCGACAATGCCGTAATACTTCAAGAGTTTCTCGTATAGCATTTTCGAAGCGGAAAGTCTCTCGAGCAGAAGATTCACTGCCGGAATGGGATCCGAGATTTGACTCGGTGGCAGCGCGTTGAGAAGAATTAGCCGAGCCTCGTGCTCTACTTTTCTGCGCTGTTTATCCTCTCTGCCTTCTCCGTCCACCGTCGAGGGAAACACGATTCCAGGCGAATCAAGGATCTTCAATTTGCTGTCGATCTTCACTTCTCTCAAGCTGGTGGTGACGCCGGCCTCAGAGCCCACGGGGCAGGCAAAGCTCTGAGCGCCCTTGTTCAGACGTGAGGTTAAAGCGTTTATGACCGAGGATTTGCCCACGTTGGGATATCCTATTACCCCAACAGATATAGATCGTTTGAGTTGTTTGGACGCGGCGTAGGATTTAAGGGAACGCAGGAGCGTTTCAGAGGTGGCTTTAAGGGTAAGTTGCTTGTGGTCAAACGTCTGAGCGTTAGATGCCGGAGTCGATGCTCTGAGTGGTATTGTGGGAAAATATCGTCGTAGATGAGTCAACCAGCCTTTCAAAACAGAAGGAGGGATCAGGTCGATCTTGTTTAACACAAGAATCAGTCGTTTCGAGCCGCCCTCGGCGGCCATAACCTGTCGTTCAACCTCTCTGGATCGGGTACCCTCGGGATCTCTGGCGTCCAAGACGTACAGTATGACGTCTGCAGCATCGAGGACTTGCTTGAAGATTTTGTCGAATGCTTTCCGCGACGAGTCCGGGTTTCGGTGGTCTGAGGATATCGTCTCCGAGATCTGAACTGCCTCCGCGGCCGACCCATCGTCTCCAGAAGACCCGATGTCTCCTGCTAGCGCTCCCCCGTCGTACTCGGCAGCTCTCGCTTGCGCTGATGCTACTAGCGCCGCCAAAGGGTTTGCACTGTCATGGGCCTTGTCGCCATCGTCTTCTTCCATATCCTCATCCAGAAGTTCGTCCTCTTCTTCCATCAAATCGTCCTCGTCCTCCTCTTCGGCCTCGGCGTCTGCTCCTGACCGCCCATCCTTTCCGGCCCTCTTCTTCTCTTTGGTCGCCTCTCGTAACCTCTGTCCCTGTTCGGCCTTTTGTCGTTTCTTCTCCTCAAGCTCCTCGAGGAGCTTTTCCTTGAACGGGAACAGGTTGGGAATGCCGGGATCTTTCTTTAAGCGTGACTTCCATTGAGGGTTCTGATAGAGCCAAAATCAGTATATGCAGGATTTAGAAGCAAGAGAGGGAAACAGAAAGCACACACCTTCTTTGCTTCCTTTCTTAGTTTCCTCTGTTTGGCCGCACTGGCTTTTTCAATTTTATGTCGCAGCCGCACGGGCGTGCGTTTTGATTTGGAGACTGATGATGTATCAGTTGGATGGGTTGCTGAAGACAGGACCACTATACTTACATGGCTTGACCATTGCTATAAACAATGACAAAACCTTTTGTGACGAGGCGACTGGGGGATCTTGTGGCTAGGATTCCGATGTGGAAAAAAGTTACAGACTGCGGGCCATGCCAAGGAGGGCCCCCGGGGCATCTTCAGCCCGAAAGCGATTTGGTGGGATGGCACGATGGCCATGTTTCCTTCCCCAACTGAGACTCACCGCGTCTTTTTTGGCCGGGACGCTGCCGAATTAGGCAATGGTACCGCCAGGGAGGAAACGCTCGGAGCTCATTCTCACAAGTATATATACATGCACTCAACATGCGGTGGGCAGAGAAATACTCTATAGATATATAGATTCCCCCATTCTGATCTTCCCACTGACCTTCTCTCGTCCTTCGCACCTGGATATACTGTGCCTTTCGCTCAGAGTCGACATTTGCGATGGGCTCAGTCGAACAACCTAATTTTTCCGCGCCACCCACGGTCGCCTCAGCCAGAGGCCTTCTGTTGGATTTCGATGGTATGTGAGATTTACCAGATTAATCTAGAATATTGCTAAGCCGAGTGACAGGCACAATTATCGACAGCACATCAGCCATCATCAAGCACTGGCACAAGCAGGGCGAGATCATGGGGGTCGATCCCAACGTTATCCTCGCTAGTTCGCACGGCCGGAGAAGTATCGACGTATTCAAGATGTACGACCCTTCCAAGGCAAATTGGGATTGTAAGAATCACTCCGAGGCGTCAGAGTATGCCTGCCAAGTGGTTGACTGCGCACTAACGAGTGATTTGCAGATATAATCCATCAAGAGAGCCTCATTCCCAAGGAATTCGGCCAAGATGCAGTCGAAATCCCTGGCGCCCGCAAATTTTTGACAAGCCTTGACGACGTCAACGTGCCTTGGGCGGTCGTCACCTCGGGGACGAGACTCCTCGTCAAAGGCTGGATCGAAGTGCTGAAGCTCGCCCATCCGCGCACCACCGTCGTGGCAGAGGATGTCGAGAATGGTAAACCCGATCCGACTTGCTACCTACTCGGTCGGCAACGCTTGGGCCTTCCCGATACTGCCGAAATGATCGTCTTCGAGGACGCTCCTGCAGGCGTCCGCGCAGGAAAAGCGGCCGGGTTCAAGGTTATAGGACTGGCCACAACCCACACTATTGGTCAGCTGAAAGAAGCTGGGGCGGATTGGATTGTGGAAGATCTCAGAAGTGTGAAACTGAAGGACTTCAAAGACGGCGTCGTGCAGGTGGAGATCATCAACGGATTAGTCGACACCCCTTGACCATTTGATGGACGCCCCCCTTTCTACACGACTTATTACGAACAGGTACAATCTTGCTCAGCGCGGCGTTTGGAGTTGCGGCATCTGGTGCCGGTCATACAGACAATTCACAGGATAGATCCATGAATAGATGATTGACAAGGAAATCATGGCCCCCATCAGTGCTTTACGCCAGACACACACAAGGCCGCCGTTCGACCCGATGCCAAAGTGAATCTTCCACCTTGGGAAATGTCATGCTCTGCAAGACCTTCAATGATCCACCCAATTCCGATTTGAGGTCATCCTGCCGTGCACACCTCGCAGGATCTCCATAACGATTCGACTTCGAAGCCAGAACATCAAACTGAACCGTAGGCACCCAGGATCTCACCAGCTTATGTCCAATCCCTGCGCAGTCAATACCACTATGGAATAGATCGGATCCTACTTTGAGATTCAAACAACTAACCGGGCTCTTTATGAGTAGTGACATACCTGAATCTGCATATAGCTGGCCTTGCTCTTTGGCCGAAACACCCTACGAGGAATATTGCCCTTTTTCCGTCAATGGCTGTTCTGTACGAACAAATCGTCCTACCGTCACTTT